ATATAATGACATAGGATCTATCTTTCGAGTCTTCTTTTTTTTTTATAGAGTTAGGAAGTGTTATGTTTGACTGAATATAAACATATGAATAATCTAAAATAAGACAAAACATAAAGCGAAAGATGAACCTCAAATAAACCAACTATGGTAGCTTGGATGAAGTCAGTTGACAAGTCTGACATAGGTTTAGAATTGACATCCTTATTATTAGTTTGCAAGCGTGTGTTCGATAGATCTACCCACATTATAGGTCAATATTTACATTTCTGCAATTTTGCCTAGATTATCGGTAGGCTCTTCTAAAGATTAAGTTTTCTGAACAACTTTAACTTAATTTTTCAAAAAAAAAAAAACTCATCACTAATAGCAAACCACATAAATCATTGCATTCACAACTACCGAAATACAATGCATTTAAGACAACCTCGATTGATATTAAATAAATTGAGTAGAAACTTTTTTTTTGAACTAAAAATATGAATAATAACCAGATCTATAGGCATATGCATAACATATTGCTTTTATTGCTTGTCTTCATGTCCTCACTAATTGCATAGAAATGGGTGGTTTGACCCTTGAGGAATACTACCTTATAGAGTGAGTTCTGCCTATGCATAATTGCCAGTCTTTTGAACAGAACTTATATGCATTCATTATCAAGAACTTGCATAACCCATCAGACAGCTTGCTTCGATGCACACAACACTAATCAAATATAACTAAACGCTTGAGTGTGGTGAGACTTAAAACACTTGAATTTGAAATCTCAAAATATTTTTGCTTTAGTCTTAGGACATTATGCATATTATACATTTTTAGGCAACCTGATTTGTAATCAATTTGTAAGGCTTACAAATCCAAAAAAAATAGCAAATTACATGTATTGCATCATCTAGACCAACCATGCATGGTTTTAAATGCACCTAGGTGGTTTAGATGACAACCCTTCCCAGGTAGGATAGTAAGTCCATTTCATTTTGTGTTTCCCTTCTTTTTAGGTTAGGGTTCAGAAGTTTCACTTCTCCTGGTGAACTTCACCATAGGACTTTGAGGTTGCTCATCTAGTTACAACATAAATCCTCACCTTTAAGCTTCTGCATGATTGTATACTGTGTAGTATAAGTCCTAACATTCTATAAAAACAATAAAATGAAACATTAAATTTTTCTTCAAAAATATTAAATGCTAAACAATAGGATAGTTGGGGACATTACAGTAGTTTCTTCGGTATCTCTGAATGTCTTCTACTTTTTTTCTCTTCAACTTCCATTAATAACTATTCAAATTTTAAGCTTTTCCCATTTGGAAATCCAATGTCCAATCGTGGAAAAATAAACTTAAAAATTTCTTGAGGACAAAACCACAACCTTAATCGAGAAATTTCTTAAGTAACTTAGTTGCTTAAGATGTAATCAGCTATAGGGGTTTTCCCTTATATGAAGATGAACACCTCAGAAAAAATCTAAACCCTATTTAGTCTCATATTAGATAAAATAAATAATCTATCAGGTTTAAACCATTGACCAGTGTAGATATCTTTCGAGGTAGTTTACTACTTTTGATGACGCGCTTGATTATTTGAACAACCAAACCCTTCTAATCTACATGGCATTCAAAGGCATTGTATCGAAGTGAAAATAAAACCCGACACTCAGTCACCACGAGACGACCAAACTCTTTCTCATTTGGGGTGAGGGTCATCTTTCTCCCTCCACCCATCATCTTGTGAGCCCCTTATTTCTAAGCAGAGGTTGGATTTTTTTCCTTTCCAATAAAGCTGGTTGATATATACCTCCACCACAATATAATCGTTGGTTAATTCCAAGAGTTTGATCAAACTATCAAGTTTATGTAAACTTAGAAAGTATTTAAATTGTGCACTCCTTAGCCCTTGTGCTAAAGCTTCCTTCGCTATCGTTGAATCCAGATTTAGCACATCCAGTATCTTCTTCTAGAATCGAGTGACATATTCCCGCATACTCTTATCCGACCCCTACTTGATGTTTCACAAGGCCTCTGAGTCCTTGTAAGGCTTTTAGGCCCTTATGAAGTGCACCATAAATAACTTCTTAAACTCATGAAAGGAATTAATAATTTTTATCAAGAGGCCATTGTATCAGCTGATGGTCAAATCTAAATGTGGTATAAAACAATTAACACTTCAATGTGCTGGAGACATTGAAGGTATATAGCCGACTCAAAGTATGCAATGTGGTCGACCGGATTGTTCCAACCCTTGTAGGGTTCCAACGAATGAAACCTTGAAATTCTCTAGGGGATTAACATCAATGATATACTGGGAGAATGAATTCTTCGGTCAGTGGTAGACTTCCATTTGTCCCCTTTGCAGTCTGGCGCCATGGACCCAACACTGTCTTGATACAGAATTCTTCAACTTGTTCAGCCCTCTGAGCCGTCAGGTGGCCTTGAGGTTCAAGTGCTTAAGGATTCTGTTCTAAAGGATCTTGTGTCATTCCCTCAAATATAGTGTGGATTAGTTCTACCATTTGTCTTGTTATTCAGTCTTGAAGTTCTTGAATTTGTTGTTGTACAAATTCTCCGACAGACTCTGTGTTTGAAGTATCTCCCATGTCGATTCCTTCTCCATGATATGCTCCTCTTCTTGTTGACGGCATGCTCCACGCTGACCATAGCATTTAGGATGTTAAATCCAAAAATATCATGTGGATCTCACCTAAGGAACCTAATGTTGGATTGATGAGAGGAAACGAGAGAGAAAAAGAAGAAAATTTCACAATAACACAAGTTTTTTAGAATGTATTCAATAGTCTCTTCTTGAAGAAATGACTCCTCTATTTATAGATTATAGGAGGTGTCTCTTAAGTTACATATTTGCCTTATTTTAATAGAAATATTATAAGTAGTTAATGTACTATTACACTTTTACATATTTGCAACTGACTCTTGATCCTTTGATATTTGTAACAGTTGTTGGCTCCATTTTATATCCATAACTATTTGAAGTGGGGTATTAATGATATGCTAATATTAGCATTCGGTCATATGATAATCGTTGGGTTGGTTGTAAGACCTTTGGTCGACGAAAATCTCTTTGATTGGTTGGAAGGTCTTCGGTCGGCCTTCTTAAGAAAACCCCCTATAGAGACCTTTTTATCACTAGGGTGAACTTAGACCATCAGGCAGAGGGTGTGCCACCGTAATCTGATGGGTAGTTCTCCTTCGGACAAGAGGTCGTCATAAAGTATATATAATAACCATTGACGAATCTCTTTTTATGTCAAAATTTTGAAATTTCTGACGCTAAAATGATTTTGGGATCAAGAAAATGTCGATTAGATTTTGTTCAATATTGAAATGAGCAAAATATATCGACATAAAAAGAGATGAGTTATCCTAAAACATCATTGTAAGAACATTTTATTTATCAACCAAAGATGGGACTTGGGTAGAACAACATATAGATAAACAATGACAATCTTTGTTAAGAATCTCAGATCAGTTGATAGAGTTTATTATATATGGATGTCTCTCGGATTATTTGCATAGTATTCCTTCGTTTGGCTGCACTTTTCATCGGTCGGCCAATGATTTCAACCAAATGAATCGACGCTTGACGCCTTTGTCTTTTGATCATCTCAATGCGGGCCTTTGATATCCACTTAGTGAGATCCATTGAATTTTCTCGAGATTGTTGTATTCATATTTTTGATGTATAACTTTTGTTGTTTATTTTTACAAAAATATACGTACATAACATCCAATTCTTATGAATTTACCTCTCACCCAAACTCTCATTTTTATAAAATGAGAGTTTGGGTGCGAGATATGTAAAACCATAAGAATTGGATGTTCTGTGGATGTAAATCCCCCTTATTTTTATTGAGAAATATATTGAAAGCTCCATGGGGACAAATTTGGTTCCATCAGTATTTGTAGATTCCTTATTGAAGATGAACGGGTTTGAATTCAAATCATAGTTGCAATTTAACTTGAAGCTTGATTCAAACTAATGTTTGTACTAGGCTAAAATATGGCTTAATTTGATTTGAAAATTTTTCTTCTCACATCACCATGCTTCCACAAATGAACTTCTCTTCTTCTCACATGCCACCTCTTATGGATCGAGCAAATATTGCGTGGTCTATAGGGGTGTAAACGAGCCGAACCCGAGCGACCCATGCTCAGCTCGTGTTCGGCTCGTTTATATTTCGAGCTCAAAATATGTGTTCGTGTTCGGCTCGTTTGCTTAACGAGCCTAACACGAGCTGTTCACGAACAAAAAGTCCTTTTAACAGCCCTAATCACGTAGCCATAAGACGATAAGGATTTGAACAGGATTTAAAAATTAGTATTTATATTAAAACATCATTTGAATCTAATTTAATATTTTTTATTCTTCTTTCTTAATTAATACTTTTTATTGATTATAAATCTTTTGTAGCCTTGTATTTAATTAAACTTTTTAAAAATATTACAAAAAATTAATTGATTAGTAGTATTTCGAGCCAAAATGAGCTGAACGCGAACGAACGAATATTTATTTGTGTTGTTTGAGTTCGGCTCGTTAACTTAGCGAACGAGCCGAACACAAGTTGTTCGCGAACAACGAGCTGTTTTGACAACCTTAGCTATGATGCTATCTAGGGTGTAGATGCCGGTCCAGATGATCCTTCTTGTAATACACTGCAGTGTGGCCGCATTCAGACAGTCACGTAGTTTTTTATCTCATCGATAACATCAATCACGGATGATCTCACAAGTAAACTTCATTTATTCAAATTAATTCAAATTCTTTACATAATTAGAGAATATTAAAAAAAAAAAAGGTAATTTCATATGAAAGGAATCGTTTGTGAGTAGGGAAATTCGGTTCGTTCACATAACTCTGAATATAATAAAAAAACAATAATTTTCTAATTGCCATATAAATCAGAGGGGATGCCACGTGGAAAAATGTGGGCCCCAAGCTAATTATAGTAGTCGCTCTCCTCGAGCAGATGAAAAATCCCATCCTTATTCTGTCGAATTCTTCCCCATCACAATTCACCGCACCGGAGTTCACGTGCACTTAAAGCTCTTAACAGAATTCGCGGATAATTTCGCTCTACAAGGCGTCGGAATTCTAAGAGAAGCGAGACTGAAGAGATGAGAGGCTGGCAACTTTTGATTTCTATGGTGCTCTGTGCTTTAATGGCGGCGGATTGCATAGGCGTGAAGGCACGCCCAGTAGAGGATTTGGTGGTGGATCTTCCAGGACAGCCCCAGGTTGCTTTCAGGCAGTTTGCAGGTTATGTCGATGTGGACGATAAGACTGGAAAGAGTCTCTTCTACTACTTCGCTGAGGCCGAAAGAGAAGCCGGCAAGAAACCTCTCACTCTTTGGCTCAATGGAGGTATCTATGTTTTCTACCCTTTTTTTTGTGGTTATTGTCCTGATCGATTTTGGTTTGGTTGAAGATAGCGGAAACCCTAGCCGTAGCAAAATTGCAGGAAGTTTGAAAAAAAAAATTAGGGTTTGCGATAATGATATGATTCGGTTTTAAAATGACGGATTTGCGGATTTGAAGAGCTTGGTAATGGCTACTGTTTTATTCTTTTGGAAGAAAGTGCATGTGCTTCGAACAGCTCTGCAGAGAAAAAGCATGTGATTTGGAATCTCGAATCGGGCTTTTTGGAATCAAGCTTTTTTTCAAAACTCATTTCTATATTTTGATTTTATGATACGAGTGCGTTTCACCTTTTTTTTTTTAATAAAGTGTTGAAACTTTTTACCAAAACCTTAATTTTAAATTTTATTTTATCAAATTTTTGCCTGACCCTCAAATGTTTAATATATATATAT